TTTGTTTCTTAATTTATCTGATATTTCTGTCTTGCAGAAAGCACCTCTACTGCTGCATTACAGACCCAAAATGGACTTGCTGTAAGAGAACTTTATTGTCCTTCTGGACCGAGTTTTTTGCAGAGACTATCATCTGGCACCTTCTTAATGCATCACTAATCACATGACGCAAACCAGCTGAATAATTTTAGAAGACTGTAGTGTTTTCATAGCGAACTGTCCTTCTGAATGCTTCTTCTAGGGATGTATTACCTAGATTTCTGGGCAGAAAATATTTATACTTTTTTGTACGGAAGAAAGAAGTCACAAATCAACAAGACACTACCAGCACTAAGTTTACAGATACTGAAAACACTTCACAGTTCCATGTAGCTCAGTCTGATTTATCTCTTACAGTTACACAGAAATAAGTTAGAATGTTGTGGAGTGATTTAAAAATGTTGCTTTTGACACCAAGTTGCATTTAGTTACTTTTCACATTCTGAATCTTTAAAAACTATATTTTTGCAAAGTGTTATTGTCTTATATACTATGCCTGATTGCATTGGCTTTATTCGATTCTGTAGAGCATTGAACATACCTAATGTTGTAGTGACTGGTGATAATTTATTATGCTGCATTGAAAATTTCTGAAAATCTGGGAAACCAATAAGTTTGTTATTTCTGCCCAGTTACTGCTCTCTCTCACTTTGTGTTTTAGTAAAGTTTTGATACTGCTCTATGCATGTTGATTTGCTAAGATTAATAGAAATAATTTCAGTTGATTTTAATGTGCCCTGATATTTTGCTATGGCATAAATTGCACCACATAATGACAAATACTCAAAAGTGCTAGATTTGTGAACTTTCAAAAAAATAAACATTTCTTATGTAGTTGTGGCTTGCAGAAATCAGTTTTTAATTTAGAGAGAATTTGCTCTCACTAACTAGTGAAACACTGGCTCCTGGCCAACTTTGGGTGATATGGCACAGTTTTCACTTCACTGGATTAAAAATCCCTCAGATCATTATGAGCAGCTTTATATTTCTTTTACCTGTTTTCTTATGAAACCATAGCATTTTCTTTAGCACAATTCCTAGCTGTTTTGGGGCGGGGGGGGGGGGGGGGGGGAGGCATGTCAGACAAGATTATTTTAGCACCTTCTGGCCTTAACTGATAATTTTTCTTGCATCAGTCCTAATGGATGCAAGATGATATACATGCATGCATATCTGTATGCATACATCTATACACACATATAACTATATATGATATAGAATGCACCCTCAATAGCACTTACCAGGGTTCACTGCACTGTTTGTAAGGCTTTTTGAAATAGTTCGCTTTTTGAAAACAGTAGTTGAAAGTGATTTCTGCAAGCTGTATACGGTATAGCATATATAGCATGATTGTGAGAGTATTTGTCTGGCACAGGTGTCAAGTCGGTGAAAACAGGCTACACCGTATTATTGGCAGCTAGAAATAGTTAACCTTCTAATTTTTGGAAGAGTTTTCCACTCAGCTGAAAATGCTGGTTGCTATTGCTATTAAACCCTGTAATTTTTTGATAAATGGTGATTGGATAAGAAAACAAGTTGGCCTGTAACTGCCCTACTTTCCTCTAGCTGTGCTCCTTCCCTTCTGCTAGAAAGTATTACTTGTTACTCAGTAACAGGAAGCTGATACTGGAAGAGGTTTATCCAAGTATTTTAAATCCTCTTCCTCTTCTTGAGTTTTCAAAGCACCACATTCCTCAGCATGTCCCCCATAGTTTACTTCTTTGGAGTCTTCAGTCCTCCTTTCTCAGCTCTGTTGCTGCAGAAGGGATGCTCCATTCTTTGAAAACACGGTTCCTCATTTTTAATTAGTCACAGATGCGAATAGGAAGGAAATCAAAAAGTACACAAGCAGAGAATGAAAGGGAGCCTACTGAACTGTGGAGATGAAAAGGAGAGCTGCAGAGAGGCCAAAAAGTGCTGCTGTTCTTGCAGATGAGGGTATAGGATAGCTGCATTTGAATGCGTTAGGCAGAACTCCACATCCAGGCTGGGTGGCTGGGTTTGTTGGGGTGTGGGGGTGTGCATGCATGTGAGCAATGGAATCGAACTTGGCCCTGGTTTTGGCTTACTGCTTGTGGACTCAGATACACACATTTTAGCTTTTTCTCTCTCTTTACCATTACTAGAACTAGCAGAGGACAACAAATGAGATCATAGGTCAGCCATTTTTATAATCTTTTCATGAAACAGCGCACACAGGTGGTATGGATGTGTACACAAACTGACATACTGGGCCTTTCTGGAGCTTTTTATGTGTTAAGTGACCTAGTGTAAGTAAGGGACTGGCTCTAGCTAGTGAGGCACTGAGACTACGAACAGGGCTGTAAGCGTCCACCCTCTGTGCACCGTGAGTGTGCAGACACTGGCTTTACCTGATGTAGACGTAACATTAAAGCCACCAGACAGCATTCTGATTAACCACCTTAATCAGGATATATATATCTATACATAAACACAAATATATTTATGTGAGATCTGTCTACCTCAGAATGTGTGCACTGCAGAAGCTTTTTGTACGACTAGATATTGATGCAGTGCTGTTAAAGTACACTGGGATTTTATTACTTTCCTGTGTACTTGTGCAACCCAGAAATTAGTTACCAACACACAAATTTAGAAGCCTTTCAAATCTATCTCTTGCTGTAACAATCTATAGTACAGAACATATATTTATAAGTTGATAACCATCTTTAGAATCACTTGAATTTATTAATGGTGCTATCCATATATTGAAAACTTTGTTTATACCTATATAGATACATAAATTCAAGCCAGTATTAATATCTACAGCTAGGTTTTTTTGCTCATAATTGTGTGTAACTGCTTTTGCAATGTGTTTAATCTGATAAAAACTCACCAGTAAACATGTAAAAAACAAAAACAAATACAAAACCACCCAGTAATTTTTCTAAATCACATGTCACAACATCTTTCTTTGCTACAGAAACGCTTTCCCTCAGGAGGGATGCGAGTGTGTCTGGACCATGTGTTTATTTCCTTTAGCCTTACTAAAAGACTACAATGCAATTGAATTGAGGTCAGAGGGAGGTCTCCTTTGGGTCAGAGCCTTGTTTCACTTCCGTGAAGCTTAAGAGACAGTTAATTTATATCAAGATTATATTGGGTAAAATAACCTTGATACTGTTCGAAGTTGGACTAAAAGTTGGACTTGGCATAGCTATCTCTTAGTACTAGTGAGATCATGTTAGTTTATTTTGGCTTTCTTGCAGATGCCATTACTGTGAAGTAGTTTTCACAATTGCTTACGCTGGTAAATAATTGCAGTAAAGAAGTATCTTGTTGCATTATCCTCGGCAGCAGTGAGACTGATGAATCACCCAGACTCAAAGTCTCATTAAATATAGTTTCATTACAAATAGAGAATTCAGATAGAATATATAATATTGAATTTAAATAAGATTTTGGGTTTTAAATTTTAACTTTATAAAATTATTTATTCTATTTTAAGCTTTCTGTCTTATTTTACCATCCAAGTATTTTTGGTTTCAGTGGTCTAGCTTTATTTACGGGCATATAAAATAAAATTGTAAGATGTTTTTACAAGCTTCTTCCTTTTACATTGAGTTTGAGTAGCTTTTATTAGCGTGTTTTTGTTTTGTATGGATAAAGAGCATTACTTATGCTTTTGTGCAATAGGTTTGAAACATGCATTTATTAGGCATATGTTTAAATTGTAAATGTAGCATCCACTTACCATTACATTTAAAAGGAGTGTAGATTGCTTTTATCACTTGTTAAATGGGGTTTTATTTGGGACTATTCTTGGGGGGCTTGTTTTTTGATTTTGTTTTCCTTTTTTTATTTTAAGAGTGAAGCGTGGGATTTAAATTTGTGTAAGTACAAGAACTATCTGTCAGCAATATTTTAAAATAAATGATCTTGCAAGAAACCTTAATGTGAATTGTGGAAGCAATTGGCAAGACTTGGAGCCTATCTGAAAGTGTTTTGTGCCATTGTTATGTCTGGTATATTTGTATACCATCAAACCTGGGAATATTTCTTTTTATTGGTTGCGCAATAGTATACACAACACTATCACCTCTGGGGATATGGGACCATAAAAAATATCAGACTACAACTATAATGGTGCTATTTTTTTTTCCAATAGGCTATGAGCCTTTGAAAGCATATCTGGCTCTTACTGTCTTTATAACAACGTAGTTAGTCCTAGGGGATTCATTGAAGTTTTTTCTACTGGATGATAAATATAACCATACAATTAGCCTATTTTACAGCATTATGCATCTTACCATTGAGCTAAATATAACAGGAAAAAGCCAACCAGTCTGTACATCAGCGAGATGAATCTTAAGTACTTTAAATGCATTTTGTACAGAAGGCTTGACTGTAAAGAAAAATCAAGTTTCTGTATTTCCTCAGGTAATCAGTTTGGATGTTTCACTGGAAATGTTAATGCAACCTACACTTCAGTTAATCTGCCTAAAGAAGATAACAGGGCAAAAAATTGTCCCCCACACTAGAATATGTAAGGCTTAATTAACTGTAACTAAGGTCTTGAGATCTATTGTTGAAGTGAAAAGTTGCAGACAGAACAACAATAAGGAACATGGAACAATGCTTCAGTCTGCTTTAATCAAAACTTGTGATCAGTACAAACACTTCTAGGAACTTGTGTCTTGTGACAAGTCAACAGGAATGTTTTATTGTGGAGTTATGGTTTATTTACATACAAATTAAAACTCTGGTCCTGCTATTTGTTCCATGTTTAATCATTCTTAGGGCTTCTTGGAAATCTGTCAAAGCCACAATGACCTGCCCAGATCCTAGTGGTAGGGTAGAAACTAAATGTCCAGTTCTATGAACGTTTATATTGGTAACATTACTGATAACCTAGATGGTTCCACAGAAACCAGTGCGATTGTTCATGTGAACAGTTAGGTGTGGCTGAAGGAAGGAGCCTTGATTTTTGAATATGATGTTCCAGTATTATTTTGTTTTTTATTATTTTTATATGAAACTCAAAGCATTGGTTTAATGGAATCTTGAATTCAAGTTACTTATCTGGACAAAAGGAGAATTTGTTCTTTCCTTCTGCAACAAGATTATTTTACGGTTAAGGGACAATAAGCCAGTGCAACCTCTAAGCCTTTATCCTCCTATGTGGCATAATAAAGATTCTGGAACTGTCACAGTGTAAACCGATATTTTTGGCTTAGCTTTATTTGAAAGTTTACAATTTTTTATGCTTTGTGTTGCTGTGTAATTTTTGTATTATTGGTGGCTCGTTTTGTCTGAATAAGCCTTTTGGGATTATTGCTTAATGTTTTGATTTTATGATAGTGAAGCTTGTATCCAGTGTTTTGCCAATTAATATTATATGCTTGTTAATAAAAGCAGAGAAACTAACTGAAACACTGTCAGGCTGGAAGTTATTGTCCCATTTTCCCACAAGAACATCAGGAACTAGCCATCATAATATCATAACACTAAACAAGCACAGCATGACTGAAATGGTGGTGGTGTGGCATCG